ACTCCGGGAGGCAGATTTTGTGGTTTTTGATTCAGCCATTATTTTAGGCTGTGTGTGTTCTTTATGCTTTAAAAATACAATGTTGGTTTAAGGGGCCCACGACCCTGGAGTTTTTGGCTTGGGTCCTGCTGTCAGCGGCGCCTCCCTGTGGCATCATTTGCGAAGCTGTTACTTCAGGTTCACTAGTTTTTAGAACAGTGACTGACCTTTTGGATGCCCCAGATTGGAGTGTGGAAACATTTTTGTAGTTAGCCCATGAGATTAGCTATTTTCTTTCAAGGAATAAATATTTTAATACTTTGTGCTTTGTCCTGTCGGGAGCCAAATAACCTCATGTCTTAGTTCCACAGCAATCTTGAAAACTTAAACTTCTCTTAGTTTTGAAAGGAAATTTAAAAACTGCCTGGGTCACAGAATTTTCTGTGCTCTCATCCACATTCTGTAGGATCCCTCATCCTGCCCTTCCCATCACTGGTTCCCAATGTGAGCCTGAAACTTTGCTTAGATTACTTTGTGACCTACATCTAACCTAAGAGGAATGGGGTGGAAGAGAAAGCGCTATTCAGGTTTGTTGGTTTTTCTTTATGCTTTTGCCCCACCCACATAGTTTCTTTTAGACCCTGGCACTTCCACCCAGCAATCACGCCCCTATGCACTGGAGCTTGAGAACTCTGAAGTGGAAATCTTGAGAGGCAGCACCTCATTCCTGGTGTCTATGCCAGTGTTACCTTTGGTAAATTGAAAGCTTTCCTAGCACATTGGCACTCACTGGGCATCATTGATGATGACTGTGCTGACATGGGAAGCTGAGTATTCAATCTTCATCCTTCACCTACATCCTGGGCAGAAATGTTGAGTAACCGATGCCCCTTGCAACCTCAACCTGTACCGGACTATTTTCCACAGGGATAAATTGCTTCACCTTTTCTGAGAGCAGGTCAGGAGGAAGCAGCCGTGTTCTGAAGATAAGATGGTTAAATCCCTCTGGCAGATATGTGCATTCTGGGGACAATACAGGACATACTTTAAGGGGCTTTGACTAGGCAATCAGTCTTAAGCTCCATGATACCTCCCCAACCCCACCTTCTTTCCAGTTAATTTGGAACTTGCAGACCATGGTATGGGAGAAATAGCTTATGTAGGTGAGGTTCTCAGAAGGCGAAGGCTCCCACTTGCAGAAATAACCTCCATTTAATTTTTTTGTAGTAGTTGACATTAACACTGTGGAGGTTCACTTATAAGTCCAGTGTGTTTGATGCTGCATCTCAGCAGGCTGTTTGCTTGGTAAATAATTTAGGTAAAATACATTTAGCTGCCTTCAGACTAGTTGTTACTGCCTCCCAAGTAAGATTCAGGTTAACCACCCCTGCCCTTTATGGGGATTTCTCATAATTGGGTTGAATTCTGACTATGTTGGCTGGATGCTCAGCTGCTATGAACAGTAAGGTAAAAATCTGTTTGGTTTTTTTTTTTCCACTAAGAGTGTGGCATTGTACTGCTATTTGTGGAGTAAACTCTTTTCAGGTACCATTTCTTACCTGGGTTATTTGGACAAAGATAAGAGTTTTTCCCCCCTAATATTATGATTGCCCCTGCACCGCACAGAAATGGTTAGTAAAACTGACTTAAAATTCTTGTACATAGACAGATGTTTAAAGACCTTATCATTCCCTACCTCTCTTAGCATTTCTGTTGGTGATTCTTAAATAAAGGATCGTCGTCGTCAACTAGTTAAAATGCTGCTGCTGGGTCTAAAGTCCTAAGGAGTCTGTTTTGCAATTAAAAAAATCTTTATTTCAGATAAACTTTAGTATTTCCACAATTTAGGATAAATCCAGTACCTTCTCTTAAGTCCATTTTTCAGGTGGTTTCTATGAATATTAGAGTTGTGGAGTATCATTTGAATATTTGCCTACATGTTGTGGGGAACTTCTGTAGCCTTTTTTGGGTAGAAATTCTAGTTTTTCTGAATGCTTCCGTTTCCTTCTGGTATTCCAGTTTGCATTCTTCCTAAATGGATCATTATAGTTAGACAGTTCTTTCAGTGCAGAATTTCTTTTATAGCATTTTATGGTCACTGGATTTCAAGTCCTTGCAATATTTGGTAAAATCTTGAACTTGTTCAGAATCTCTCTCTTGAGTCTTTTCTCTAATTATTTTAGGGACCCAAACATCTTTTTCAACACTTCTGAGATGGTGCTCTGTAGGGTCGAGAGCCATCTCTGCAGGCAGGATGCAGCCTTGTGGCAGTTCCTGGATAGGGGACCTTAGGGAATCTTTAGTCAGTAAATCTCAGGTGGAGCCCAGGGACAGTGTTCATGTACTTTGTGTCATTCTAATTCAGAGGGCCCAGGGCCACATTCTGGCACGAATATAAACTTTGCACTTGTTTCTCACAGGGAGAATAATTTTTTTCAATGACTTTTTTCTTTATGAATATTTTGTTTTATTTTTTTTAATTTTAATATTTTTTTACATCATTTTTTATTTTTGTACGATGTATGCATTTTCATCTTGGTTATAGTCCCTGTAAAATTCCCACACCCTTGTTTTGATCCTATGCCCTTCTCCTCCCCAGTAGTGTGTCTCTGGTTTATAGTTGCCTGTTGATTTTGATTTTTACTTTATTGTAATTAGTCTTTTTCCTGATCCCTTATTTGGGTTTTCTAAATTCCTGCTTTGAATAATTTTTTATGGACCACTATTCTTGGTTTGCATTCAATCCAGCAGCCCCCAGTTGATTACAGGAAATATTAGACTTGAGATTAGAGGATAGCATTCTCAGATTTGGGTAAGAGAGTCAAGTATAAAGCAAAAACACATTTATAAAACAAGTAGTTTTCCCAACATAAAGTAGGAGCCATGGAATATTTAAAGAGAAAAGTGAGTGCACATGTGTAAACTTGAGTGTCTGTGTGTGTGTGTGTGTGTGTGTGTGTGTGTGTGTGTGTGTGAGTGATGTATGCATGCTTATGTGCCCAGGTGAACATATGCTAAAGTAACTTCATGGCCTCAATGAGTCGTTGGATAAATCTATCCTGTCCCTATCTAAGTGACACTAAATGTAATTTGAAGCTTGATTCTATCATTTAGTGTTTTGTGGCAGCAGAATTGGAGGTTGTTGTTTAAGGCCCTGTGCAGATATAGAGGGAGCGTAACTGTTCATACAGTGACAGCTCAGAGCTGGGCTCTGAGCTTCAGCTTCCCCATCTATAATCTAGGAGGGGAATTAGCTATCCCCATTTGGTTGCTATGAGGATTAAGTTTGTGTTGGGACGTTTTGAAAACCAAAGAGAATTGTATAGCTAAAGCTCCTAATTATGCATATTGTATGTTATTCTAATTCAAATATTGGAACCATGCTTGGAATAACTTCAGGTGAAGACACTGTCTGATTCTAGATCAATGATTATATGTCATTCATAGTATTTTTTTTTTAAAAAAACCCTTTTATGGTTTGAACTTTAAAATGCTAATTAAAAAAAAGGAAAACTTTAAATTGTCCATAATCCCACCACTCAGATGATCACTTAAATCTTTCATATAAACATTTCCAGTTCTATTTTTATGCATATGCATCTTTCAGAAAATTGGGTTATCTCAGGCATGCTATTCTGCAGTCTTTTTTACTTAGCAGTATATTGTGAGCATTTTTTCAAGTCAGTCAATACTTTGTACCATCATTTAAAATTAATGTATTATATCCCATTATATAGAAAAGAGAAAATTTATTTAACCAGTCTCTTACTGATTTTAGATTTTCTAATTCCCTTTATTTTTTGATAGTATATACAATGCTGAGATAAGCATCTTTTAAACTGATGAATCTCGATAGCAACTGGGTTTATTGACACTTGTACCTAAAGTACCTAAAGTCATAGGTGCTGACTAACATATTGGTATGAACTCATTTTGAAATGATTATTTGTATTAAGCACTTATTTTTATACCTAGAAAATCTAACTTTATCCTTTTTGACCTTTCCACATGCTTGAGAGCTGAGGTGATGAGTTGTTGTCATTTCCTTAAAGCAGCAGCGCAGTTCTGACTTTCTGTTGCTTTGGGACTCCTCGGATTTCCTTTAGGCCAAGCTGTTGTGGTTTACAAAGTTCATAATCAGTCAGGAGAGCGGCCTTTCACTTTCTGAATTCTTAAAATCATCCTTTAAGCTAAATGGCACGTTAGGAGTATTTCTGATATAAAATTGGAAACTTTCATATACCAGGAGGCATTGCTTATCTTTGTAAATACACATGTTCCAATTAAAATAGGTACTAAAATATTGTAGTGGTACTTCAAAACTCCCAATTTAGATTTAATTTAGATTAAAACACTTACTCTTTTTAATAAAGTTGTAAAATTGATTATTAAAATTGCCTATTGAAGATTAAAAGCAGTGGAACGTTTATTTTCCTTACAAAACAATTTAGTCTTCAATAAGTAACAATTGTATTAATCAATTATGCTATTAAAATACAACTGCCATATTAACTCTGACTCATTTGTCATGACAGTTTCTATAATTATAGAAATTATACCTAGTTGCTTATATAGCTGTAGTCTTGCCATAAATATAAATAATTATCTCTATTAATTCAGTTCACAGTCACTGTGTATTAAATCCCAGTTAAATGGCAATTTGGGGACCTTCATTTGAAATCCTCCTAAATCTTTGTTGTTCCATCTGACTGCCAAAGCCATATGAACACCCCTCCCACTGTTGATGTCAGAAACCAATTTATGAGTAAAATGTTTTTTTAAAAAAGCAAATATTTAAAAAGTCTACTTGGGCTTGAGGTTTGAGGCTGTTAGAAAAAATACATAAGAGCATGTATGTGTTGGGTAGAGGGTGCTGACGAAAAGAGACAGAGCAAATCTTGATTTCCTGGTATTTCAGTTTGAAAATCAGTACATGAAATCTTACATTTAAAATCTTCTATATAAGCCCAAAGGATGAGAGCAAATGGTTGAGTAATTATTCACAACTTGTATTTCCATAGGTGTGGATGAAGTCACCATCGTTAACATTTTGACTAACCGCAGCAATGAACAGAGACAGGATATTGCCTTCACCTACCAGAGAAGGACCAAAAAGGTACAAGCAATTTCAGGGATGGAGAGCATTCCTTGTTGACTTTATTTCTTCAGCCATAAGTTTTTGTTTTCATGAATTCTGGCTCTTGTGAGAAAGAGCCTTCTGTAATCCTTGGGCGTGCAAGATTTTCTTCTTATATCCTTGTAAGAATCACCCCTGCTCCCCATCACCCCTCACAGCCCCTGGAGTCCTTGTAGCTCATATTTAAACACCATGTCCTCCTCCAACTCAAAGTATGCGGTGGGAGCGATTCTGGGAATGGAAAACTAGAAAGGAATAAGCAATAATGACAATAGGTAACGGTTATTGAATGCTTAATTTATGCCAGGCATATAATTCTGTACATGTGGCAACTCATTTCATCTTAATGACTTCTGCTGGCTCTTGATAAAACGTTTCTAATTTAATCTTAGGACACTAGTCTCCTCTGAGTGTTGATCCTGACACATTCTCTTCAGTCTTAAAAGATACACTTGAATTCTTAAGAGCTTAGTGATGAACAGGCTTAGTTAGTGTTTGTTTGGTTTACCAGACTATCTTCAGTGTGCCATGCTCCTGCTGCTTAAAGGGGCTTTATGTGCTTTTCTCCTTGTTTATCCACTAGTGGTGAAGGAACAAACCAGTGCTTGTTCATCCGTTATTTTGTCGCAGTGTTGGGATATTTTATTTTTAAGAATAGACTGCTTTATTTTTAGCTTCTTGCTATTAAAAGCTTTTGATTTATTCCTGGATGGTGCAGTAAGCGTGGCTTCCTGCAGCTCCCATTTGACTTACAGCTTTCACTTACAACCACAGTGGAGGTGAGCTGGGAAGACTGAAAAAGATATTTCTGCTCTTGGAGTTGACATGATGCCCAGGGTCCTGGGGGTTATAGGTCAAAAACTGCTACAGTTTCCTCCTCCTCTTCAAAACATAGGAAAAGACATAAATTGCAAAGCATCTGACTTCCTTTATCTCATGTACATTAAAGTGCTTTTCTCAACAGTACTTATTGTCATCTTTTGTAGTAAGGTATAAAGGAGGATGCTTTGCCCAGTTTCCCAAAAGGACAGTAAACTGGTAGAGTCAAGTTTCAGCTGGAGCAGGAGGCCCACCTCTTTGGAGAGTATGCCTATAATGGCTTTTTCTGCTGTCATATGCAGAGTGTGATCTGGGAACACATTTGAGTGCATACACCTCAGTGTACCCAGAAACACAGAAGCTCATATCTTTTTTTTTTATAAACTTTTTTTTTTTTTTTTAAATAGAAGCATGTTATTTATTTATTTGTTTGTTTGTTTGCTTTGTTTATACATGCACCGGGTACAGTCGGAAGCGCGGGAGGGTGAGAGAATTCACCAGAGCCAGAGCGGGGAGCAGAGCAGGAAGAAGGACCGAAGTACACTGCTGAGGGGAGCAGCGGGTGGCAGGAGAGGTCTGCACACCATGTGGGACCCTCCTCCAGTGGCCGGGGAGCAGCCGGGGATTGAACCGGCGCCGCTGAGGCTGCGGGCAGCTTCACAACCCAGCGCTCAACCGCTGCGCCACCGGGGAGGCCCAGAAGCTCATATCTTGATTACAAATTAGATTAATGGAGAGCAAAGCACTCATATACCCTGTTGGAGGGAAGATAGTACCAGAATCTTCGTGGGGTTTGCTGGCCTCATGGGCTTTGATAATTGTGGGGCACTGCCAGCATTCTCTTGATTCTTGATATCTCTCACTTGGGCCAAGGAGAATTGTCATCTTTTACAGAATACATAAACTACTTGAGATAATTTCTGAAGGAAATCCTGGCAGCCAGGTGTTATTGTTTCAAATGAGTTGTTTGCATAATAAAGAAGAAAATCCTGTACTGCAGAGAACTTAGGTCTGTGGGCCCAGGCTGCCTGGATGATGAATTTGAACAGGAAGGGCAGAGTTAGTATGAGAGGAGCTGAGAAGATGGATTGGACATCTCGTGTTCATTTTTTTTTTTAAGATTTATTTATTTATGCTTACAAGAACTGGGGTACAAGCCAGGGGTGCAGGGGATGAGAGGTTTCACCAGAGACAGAGCAGGGAACAGAACAGGCAGACTAACTGAAATACACTGCTGAGGGGAGCAGCAGGCAAGACAGGAGAGATCTGCTGTGCCAAGTGGGTAAGCTCCCTGGCCAGCCGGAGATCAAACTCGTGCTGCAGTGACTGTGGATAGCTTCACAGTGCTGTGCTTAACCCCTTGCGCCACCAGGGAGGCCCCTGAACATCTCACATTCAAGCTAATGCCAAATGCCAGGTTTCTCCAACTAGTTATGTATGTTGTATTTATCAAGCATCTTTGGAGTTTGTGTTTAGTGTAAAGTCCTCTGCTAGATGTTAGGCGAAGCAGGAAGTTGAACGCCCAAATGAAGTTCAGAATAGAAATGGAAGAAGTCAGTAAGTGTCCAGTTGCTATTTGAGGTTTGGGAAACTGGGTGGAAGGGAGTGTCCTGGGTAGACTCAGTTTGGAATGATGTGATCTCAAAGTTAGAAATCGGAAACTTGGTGCTATGGTTGGAAGGTGTTACTTTTAAATCCCCTACTAGGATTATGCTAAGCAAAATAAGTCAGAAGGAGAGAGACAAATACTGGATAATTTCACGCCTGTGGAATATAGAGAAACAAAGCAAGAGAACAGACAAAACCAAGTGTAGGGTCAGGAATGGCCACAGTGCAGGTTTTCTATGATCCAACAGACCGGGTAAAGGAGGAATCAGAGTCCTCAGTGGTTTTTGCAGGACTTTTATTGGGATTACCGGGTTCACGGCAGGCAGGGGTGCTGGGGGGCGGGGAGGCTGGCAGTCCTCCCAGCCCCCAGCAAGTCTTCACTCTATCTGGGCTCTCCAGCGTTCTCTGCTTCTCTCTCAGCTTCTGTTTGTTCTCGGCTTCTACTGGCGTTCTCATGATGCCGTCCTTAAAAGCCCAGTCTTAGCTCAGGTGAATCTCATCCACCTATGCCCACACCCTACTCCAGGTGCCCGCCATCAGGCATGCATTCAGGACCGCAAGGATCCATCATCTATCCTGATGGCGGGAAGGCAGAAAAGCCTGACATTTTTCCTTACCCTACACCGAGCCAAAACAAACCCTAGAAATCTGAGTATAGAATTGAGGCTACCAAAGAGGGATGATGGGCAGTGGGGAGCAAAGGCAGGGTTCCTATGGACTATGATGGAAGATCATGGTGCTTTGGTGGTGGGCATGGTGTGGTAACATACATCTGAAGAGCATGGTGTGGTAACATACATGCTATGTGTTATTGGACATTGGGAAGCAGGAGAAAGTAGGTGGTGAAAGAGTTTGGGCAGATAATTATAAGAGCCATCTCAATTCTCAGCAGCTGTGAATGATTTGAGAAGATTCTCTCTGAAATAGGTTACACATCAGCTTTTAGCTGCCTGCCGGGGCTAAACATTGTAGATGCCATGGCTACTAGAAAGCAAGACAGAAAGAAAAGGGGAGGGGAAAGGTGGAAAGGAAGAAGATAATAATCACAACAGAATTCAGTCATCACCAGTTCCCATGATTTGTAGGAAATTTTTTTTTTTTTATTTATTTTTTTTATAGAGGCATGTTTTATTTATTTATTTGTTTGTTCGTTTGTTTCGTTTATACATGCACTGGGTACAGTCAGAAGCGCGGGAGGGTGAGAGAATTCACCAGAACCAGAGCAGGTTGCAGAGCAGGCAGAAGGACCGAAGTACACTGCTGAGGGGAGCAGCGGGCCGCAGGAGAGGTCTGCGCGCCATGTGGGACCCTCCTCTGGTGGCCGGAGCAGCCGGGGATCGAACCAGCGCTGCAGAGGCTGCGGGCAGCTTCGCAACCCAGCGCTCAACCGCTGCGCCACCGGGGAGGCCCGATTTGTAGGAAATTTAATCCATGAGGAAGAATCTGTAAAAGCCACACTAAGTTGGGTTATCTGTCTATATCCTTGGGTGATGACTTTACCCTCTGACTTAAAATCTGTGTTAATGGTAACAGTGAAACCCTTAAGAAATATATGCAGCAGGGAAGTTAAGGGGGCAATTGGAGTGTCAGTTCATTATCATCTCTATCAATAGAGAGGACCGCAGTGTGATATAGATAACAGCTGTTCTGTTCTGTTGTCTTGCAAAGGGAAGCTTCATGAACCCACTTCTTGCCTCTAGTAACTCCTGGAGACTTTCAAGAGCTACCCTTGACCCAGCTGCATGAATACCTTTGAGCAGAGAGTATCAACAGGCCCCGAGGCTTCAGCTTCCTTGGAGTTACTTGAACCACCTCCTTCTCACCAGGGGCCTTGACCCCAGAAAGCACCCTGTCTTTCATGGACTATTGTCAGCTGCAAGTGTATTGTGCTCAAACTCCAAGCTTTCTGAGGAATTACATGCTTCTCTGGTTTCCTTTTAATGACTGGGGAGAAGGCCAAAGCAGTTTGGATTTTTAGGGAGCTTGTTAGAAGTCTCAGCTTTCTGTTTTTGACATCTGATTCTATTGAAGGGAATGCAGGTGATGATAGTTGACCACAATTCAAAGTGGTCAAACAATCCTAACCTGCTATAGAAACAGATCCCTCACCCTTTTGTTCTACTCACCAGTTTTAAGATGAATGTTAGATACCAACCACATTTCCCATGTTCTTGCCTGTCTTTCTGAAGGAACTTGCATCAGCACTGAAGTCAGCCTTGTCCGGCCACCTGGAGACGGTGATTTTGGGTCTATTGAAAACACCTGCTCAGTATGACGCCTCGGAGCTGAAAGCCTCCATGAAGGTAAACACATGTGAGAAGCAATCTCTGTCAAATTTGCCATTAATATTTGTGAATTACAGCTTTCTGAGTATAATTAGGTGATTTTCAGTTTTGTTGGATTCTCATTTGGAACCATTTTTTTTTTGAATGAACTGAAGCTATAAGTCTCAGAATTTGTACCAAAAATATTTCAATTACTTTTTTTATGACTGTAAAGAAATTTCATGATGCTGAGAAGTCAGTTACCAGCTGCTACTGCTTGGCACCTGGGCAATTCGAATACCATTTGGAAAAACTATTTCCTTGATTACACTTCCTCCTTAAAAAAGAGTTGTTGTGATATTAAGGCAAAAGTAAAACTCATAGCTTTTGTTAAGTGAAGCTGACAAGTTCTACCAATGCTCCATTGGGTATTTCTTCTTCTGACCTCCCCTTTATCAGAATATTGAAAATCAGAATATTGAAGTGCATATGAAGGGTGATTTCAGACGGTGAATGGAACCTGTATTTTGTTGAAAGTATAGCACATATGTTATCTTTTGTTTTTCTTTTGCAAAGCTATTTTGAACATGGAATTTAGAGAATAGTAAAAATTCCAGGTTGGAAACCACCATACCTAAGACATCAATTATTATATAAATGTAATAGGTGGACAAACATGTATTTTACAGCAGAGAACCCTTTTCAAAGTATGTGCTTGTCACACTTAGAATAATCTGATATTGCCCTCTGCTGATGGAACTGGGGAAAACCTCCAAAGTAGTGGGGAGATGCTATAGTTGGTATTTTTAATTCTGAGTGTTTTTTTTGTGATGCCACTGTTGCTGAATTATGAAGAGACCCAGCTCTAAGTCTTTCATCAGAGCTAATGTCACAGTTCAGTTGCTATCCCTTTTTCCAGAGAGTGAGGCAGCTTCATGCACCGGACCTTTCAGGGCCCAGAACTTGATAGGGCTGCTAAAGGATTTGTTGTGGAATCTCTTTTCTTCCTTCAGTTCTACACTTTAGCCCAAGCTTTGGTTCATGTATTTAAGTGAGCCTCCTCAGTTTCCTAAGTAGGCTATATTTTAGGGATGGTATAATTAAAAAATGATAAACTGTCAACAAATCTTAATGATTCTGCTCAATAAAAAGAATGGTCCTGAAAACTGAGTCTTGGGACCTCTGGAACTGTGGATGAAATAGGCCCTTCTAGGTGTCTTCTGCCTATCATTAGTTCAGATCACTTTATCCTATGTTCATCAAGAATTCACTTAGTTGTGTTCCTGTGGTTTTACTGTTACTGTTACTAATATCTGTTACTAGGTATTAGTGACTTAAATTGGACCTATTTGAACAATCACTCACTTGTTGTATTTTATGCAATTGGGTCTAATGAAAGAAGCTTTGACTGCTAAATCTTTGACCTAGTGCCAGCTCTTCCATTAGCTCTCACAGTAGAACGCCCTTCTGAAATCCATAAAACTGAAGTAACATCAACTGAACTATGCTTTAAAAAAATGTGTTGACTCCTGACAGTACCAGTAGCAGTATCTGCCATATGTTACTGCAGAAATTACCCTTGTGATAGAAATTGTGACCAATCTGTGGAAAGCTTAGGCCTAGTTTTAGAAATTGCCAAGGTTATCTTTGAATGTAGAGATAAAAACACTATTAGAATTCCTTATATCAGCCCTGAGATACCAATTGAAGGAAGAAAAAAAAATCTTATATTGCTATTTTTGTTTTACCTTTCAACAATGTCAGGATATATCATTTCTTCTAATGCATGAATTGCTTTTAGACTATATTTTTATCATCCTTGAGAGAGAAACATTGACCCCCTAAAATATTTAAAGGCCTTGATAGTCATTCTATAACCTTTGTGTAGAATGCTGTATGGACTTTTGGGTAAGAAAGGAAGAAATTTTGACTTTGTCAGAACCTCTACAGATCATGATTAAAATCTGTGAGGAGGAGACATTGGCTCATAGATTAGATTAAGAATGAAATTCAAAATTAACCATTAACCTGAGGCTTAACTAATATTACACAAACCACTTTTTCAGAGACATATAATCTCTATTAAGTTTAATTAATAGGTTACATACTTTTCATGTGGAAAAGTACGTTTCTTATTGTATTAACACCTAGTAATTCATTTACATTTTAAACAGTTGTAATTCTACTTAGTTCAAAGTAATACTTCCATATTCGGGAAGGCAAGTATTAGAAGATGATTATTAAATCTTGACTTTGATCATGAAGCTAGCTTTGAAATATATGTTTCATTGAGTCCTTTCAAGCTCTCTGGCACACTCAAAAGTGTATATATTAAATTTGAATACATCGCCATCAAATTCTTATTCCTTAATAAAGTGTTGGTGTCTGGGTTTATTTGACAGTTCATTATATCCTCTTGCTTCCCTAAAATGCCTGGAGAATGCATAGTAATCAAACAAAAATGGAAGTACAAGAATGAAATTTTTAACATTAACCCAATTTTACATTTCAAAGATCTGAAGCTAAAAATTTTATCTTAGCTACACCTTTCCCTGGTTAAAAAAAAAGTCTCATTTCAAACTAATAATGCTGGTAGCAGGCAGTAACATAAAATTTCTGTATTCCTTTATTTTAAATTACTGACTAGAACTGTTTAATGAAGAAAATTTATTTTCCATCTATTAAAATAATGGTTGATTTTTATAGAAATTGAAAAATAACCAAAATTAAGAAGAAGAAAAAAAGTTAATACATTTTATAAGACCATCACCAAAAGGAAACATTTTGGTGCATTGCTGTCTCTTCCATATATATAATTGAGCTCAGGTGTGTCACTTATGCCATGGTATATTGTTGAAAGGCATGTGTTAAAGGAATGGAAAATAACATTACTTTGTGCTGAGGAATGTAATACAGACCCCTCAGTAGGAATGTAGAAAGGAGCATGCTAGTGGCTCTTACCCATGCTTGCAATTTACCTGCTTGAGGTTAGGGAAGAGGGCTAAGGACCAAGATGACTTTCCCTGCTGATGTCTGTGCTGCTTGGCTTTTAGGGCCTGGGAACTGATGAGGAGTCCCTCATTGAGATCATTTGCTCGAGGACAAACCAGGAGCTACAGGAAATTAACAGAGTCTACAAGGAAAGTGAGTAGCCCTATTCTGTGATGCATCTCCTCAGACCAGTTTCTGTGATCTCATCATGGCTACCTGGGTTAGTGCTTGGGGTCAGATGCCTGGATTACCTATGCAGAAATGTCTGCTATCTGGACTGCAGGGTTGGACCAGGGGCTGCTGTGGTCCAAATTCCTTTCCTCCACCTCCTGTGGCTGAGTTTTGATTATTAGCATCAATTAGAACTTTTACAAAAGGATAGACAAGAAGAAAAGAAAAGAAAGATCTGATGGGTAAGAGTAGAATGTATTATATGTGGATTTCATTTATTGGGTGGCTCTGCTTAAGAGGTTTGCACTCGACAATGTATGATTGTGGCAAAGGACACATGGACATATATCTAACGGGAGGAATAGGAGACTGTGGGAAGGATAAAGAAGGCAGCTTATATGTGTATGTGTTATATTTCAATATAGATGCTATTTTGAATAATAAAATATAAATTTATTCTAAAGTATTATTGAATTCTTACTAGTTTTTGCCTCTATGCATTTTGTTATTCAGTGGATAATGAAGTATACTAGGGGTGGGTGGGTGGGTGTGTGTGGGTGTGTGGGTGTGGGTGTGGGTGTGTGTGTCTGTCTGTAGTCCTCCACATTTTTTGGTGTTCAAAATGAGTTTTCCTTGTCAAGAAAGTTGGAAGCCAGTATTTTAGTGACAAAAGGTAACTTATCAAAGATGAGCTTGAGGAGCGCTGATTTTATCGAGCCCCATCTGTCCCTTGTCACTGATAATGGCACTGGCTTTGGTTTTATGAAGTAAAATCATTCTAGAGAATTCACCCTCTCCTGGGCAGATATATTCATACTGCCACTGTTCTTTCTGCTTTCAGAGATGTAGTGGGGCAGGGGGTGTTTGGGATGTGTGATGGACTGCACAGGCAGGAAGGTAAAACCAGGTGTGTTGTTTTCCAAGTGTACAAGACAGATCTGGAGAAGGACATTATTTCTGACACTTCTGGTGACTTCCGCAAGCTGATGGTTGCCCTGGCAAAGGTTGGTTTCTGGTTTATATCTTTGTCCTTGTCCCTCCCAACGCAAGTCACATATCTCATTTAAACTTGGGAATTAACTCAGTCTCCTCTGCCTACATCAGAAATTTCAGCTGCATTTCCAACAGTGGGTCTGCACTATCACTGCGAGCTGTCATTTTTTCTATAATAGGATTTCTTATCCTGAGAAACTGCATGGTCAAATGGACTTTGGGGCCCAGAGGAGGAATAGGTGGCTGTGAAGTCCTGGTATGGGTTTATGTGCCAGCCCTGGTCACATGACCCAGAAAGGTCATTTTGCCTCTATCCATGGTCACATAGGACCCAGTGGGATGTGGTGCTCTTGTTTCTTTCACCTGCTTACACTTCTTAGGATTTGCCACATAGTCCTATTCCTTGAGAAGAGGGTCTTTGTTTGTTTGCTAATGTTAACACGTCAATGTGGATGAAAAGAATTTTCCTTCTGAGTGTGAATTCTGACCAGTGTGCAGTTTAGTGCCAATGGCAGGGGAAGGGAGACAAATAATTTTCTCTGGGAATCCTGATGAAGTGTTTGATTAATGTGCTCTCTGCTCATGTTTTTCTACTACTGCAACAAGACTGTACCACTCCTCAGCTCTCCTGTCTCCCACCTGCTCTGTGCAGCACCACCACTTATGATTTTGAGATCCATTTTACTCCCCTGATCAAAACCCTTTTCTTCTGCATCAATTCCAGACTTTCAATTGACTTTAAAAGTCATCTGTGCTCTGGCCCTTGCTAACCTAATCTTCCTCCCGAGTAGTTCATTCTGCTTACCCTCTGCTCCAGCTGGGCAGCTCCTCACTCCCCACCAGCCTGCTGACCTCCATCTTTGTGGTCATCCTGTGTGCAGTGCACCCTCCTTGCCCCATTCTAGTCTCTGCCTCCTCATCCTTTAAGCTGTACTTCAGCCATAAGCTGCTGTTCATACACTGCTGACTGTACTCGCTGGCAGATTTCTCCTTTACTTGCATTTCAAGGCTTCTCAGAGCCATCGATTACTTATTTTATCATTTGTTCCATGCAGTTTCTCCATCTGGATTGTAAGCTCTCTGAGGGAAGAAACTAAGTATCATTAACTTTTTTGGGAGGGTGGAATTTTATTAAAGGCTTCGCTTCAAAGTGAAGAAAAATTTTAAGTAGGTATTTATCAGTAAATTAAATAATGACATATGAGTGGGAGGGAAAATAACAGTTTTCACTTCTAAAGTTTACAAAAAAATATATTTGATGTTCTTAACTTCTGTTTTTTCCTGTAGGGTAGAAGGGCAGAGGAAGGCTCTGTCATTGATTATGAACTGATTGACCAAGATGCCCGGGTAAGTGCTAAGCTTTTTGGTTTGAGTTTCTATATTTTGGCAAGTCTCTGGATACATAGTCTATATAACAATAACCTATCATTTGTGACAAATTACCTCTAAACTTAAGACTTACACTTAAGACATTTACTCTGTTGCTGTGGGTCAGCAATTAGGAGTGGCTCAGGGCCTTTTGTGAGATTACAGACAAGTTGTTGGCCAGAGCTGAAGTCAGAGGGCCCAGAGATGTCTAGTGGGTCTACTTCCAAGATGGCCTACCAGATGCCTGTTGGCAGGAGGCCCTCATGTCTCCCCACATGGGGTTCTCTGCAGAGATGTTTATGTGTCCTCCCCACATGGCAGTGGGGAGTGTCCAGAGGGAGTGATCCAGGAAAGAAAGCATGCAGGAAACCAGGAGCTTTTATGGCATCATCTCGGGATTCACATGCTGTCCCTTCTGACATACTCATCCGTTAGATATGAATCGCTATGTATAGCCTACTGGCAGAGCAAATAGGCTCCACTTTAGGAAGCGAGTAGTTTAAAAAAAATGGGGGTTTCGTTTTTTCTTTCTGGGAGCAATGGTTTTTTAGAAGGAATTCCCCTATATTGCTGGTATCCATTACAGGATCAATACCTAACTCACATACTCAGGTTTTGCTTTTATGAAAGTACCTGCTTCTGCAGGGTATGATACAGCCATGAACACTGGTGTGCATTTGCTGCTAAAGAATAACCTGGGGAAGAAGAAGAAGATGGTGGAGGCACAGCCAGGGACAAGAACTCTTATTGCCCTCTGTAGTCGGGGAGAAGGGTAGGCAGCAAGGGTGGTATATTCTGGACGAATAGAGCTTTTGTGAGTTCTAGCCTACAACCACTGAGAACTATTTGTTAAGCTGATTCAGATTATTATAAACAGTATGGTTTTTCCAGAGGGTCAACATTTGCCTCAAACATTTCATAAGAGCTACAGAATAAAATTAAATTCATTTTAGTTTTAAAAATTCAATATATGTCACAGAGCACTTTTAGTAGGTCAAGAAATAATAGATATTAGATTTTGCAACTCCCATATGGTGGGTGGTCACTGAATGAGTACCTGTCCTTGCATAAGCCTTCTACCTTCCACCCTCCCTCCCTGCCATTTTTAGCATCACTTGTAGCCATTTCATTTTCCAGAAATTGAAAGTAAGGTTGACCTGGCTCCTTCGCCAGCCCTGTCATTCCCTTTGTCTCTATGAAGCTTGAGAGTGGGCACCTGAGCCCTGGCTCCTTCAGTAGTTGACCACTAGCTTATTTTTTATTTATTTATTTGTTTATTTATAAAGATTTATTTTATTTATGCATATGAGAACTGGGGTACAGGCCAGAGGTGCGGGGTCGGGGTGGTGGGGGTGAGAGGATTCACCAGAGATAGAGTAGGGACCAGAACAGGCAGACTGACTGAAATACACTGCTGAGGGGAGCAGCGGGTGAGACAGGAGAGGTCTGTTGTGCCATGTGGGTAGCTCCCTGGCCAGCTGGGAATCTAACTTGTGCTGCAGAGGCTGCGCATTACTTCACAGTGCTATGCTTAACCCCTTGTGCCACTAGGGAGGCCCACTGCCTTACTTTTTTAAAAGGAGAGGTAGGTTGGATGTTCTAGTGACTGTTTAGGTGTCCTTCTTTGTCTGAGATGAAAACTTTTGACCTAAATAATTCATTTTTACAGTCATTCTTTCTCATTTTGAGTATATAGGTTTTTGGATTTTCCTGCATGACCTTTTTTATGACCTTGCTCTAGATTGCTCTAGATTGTATGACTAACTTTCCTGGTTGATTGCACTTGTAGGATCTCTATGATGCTGGAGTGAAGAGGAAAGGAACCGATGTCCCCAAGTGGATCAGCATCATGACCGAGCGGAGTGTGAGTCACCTCCAGAAAGGTGGGTGCTTGGCTCAGAGGTCTTAGGTCTTAGAGCCTGGGTTGAAATGAATGGTTCTGTCAGGCAGGCCAAGTGGGTATCTATGTAGGAGGTAGGGTCAGTTGGGAAAAAGTTCACTTTCCACATTACACTCCCAAGCCTCACCACATCCATACACCCTTCTCTCCCATTTTGGATCTTTCTCCTAAGTATTTTCCCTGTTTGGTTCCCTGCTCCTTCTTGTCTGAGGATCTTTTTATGTTGCCATATTGGTTAAGTAATGAACTTGGCTGAGTGCTTCATACTATTTCTCATAGCTTCCAGATAGAATGGGTTTCACAGGGAAATGGAGGTCATCAGACTATGTGACCTGAGCAATGACACCAGCCAGGTGCATGGCAAACTGGAGTAATGTCAGTTCTGGTCCTTCATGGCATCTCTTCACCCCTAAAAATGCTGTGAGCATCCTCGTTTTGATTTTTGTTTTTTAAATCATGGTGTGTAACAACTCTGGGTAATCATAGACATCTTTGACTAGTGGCTCTGTTATAATGATATTGTTGCCTTTCCTCAGTATTTGATAAGTACAAGAGCTATAGCCCTTATGATATGGAGGAGAGCATCAGGAAGGAGGTCAAAGGAGACTTGGAAAATGCTTTCCTGAACCTGGGTAAGCAAGCATGCACCCCCATCCTTAGTGGGAATCAGATTTCAGAGAACTGTACTGAAGCAGAGTAATATGTGTCCATTCTATTACTTCAAGTGTGTTTGGGAGGTGTAGCTTCTTCTGTATGTGATTTGGGTGGTTTATAATCTGTATACATTTAAGAGATAAAACCAAAGAAGGGCTTAAATTGGTAGAATAGAGAGGTGCCTGGGAGGAGTAAGATAACAAAGGAAGAAAAGGGAAATCGATGCTACTTCCATTTCTTTAGCCCTCAGAATACCCTGGTTTAAACACTGTGGAGCTCTGTCTCAGAGGGTCCATGGTTTTCTTTTAGTCTTCCCCATTTTACAGGCCATTTTTGTCATCTGCTTTGGACACAGGGCAGGGCCTTGCCTTTCACTGGTGGAGGAGAAAGGAGAAGATGAACCACTGACCCCTTTTTTTTCTTCACAGTCCAGTGTATTAAGAACAAGCCCCAGTATTTTGCTAGCCGACTGTATGATGCCTTGAAGGTAAGGAGGATTGACTGAGAGATCTGTTTCCACATTAGACCCTATTTTTTTTGCACTTCAAACTATGTCTGCCTGACTAGAGGGTAAAGGAAGGTCCCACTATCTAAATGCAGGGGCCCCAGTCAGCTGTGGTGTCTGACAGATGAGAAAACCACAAATCTCTCCTCTATCTCTCCCAACTATTCGAGCATGAGGTGGTGTAGGTAGAAAATAAAGTGCCAGCCTGGGAGAGAATGCCAGATGGTAATCGTGTGTGATTGCTGCTCCAACTTCTCAGTGAGTCCTTCCTTGTAGCCCAGAGTAAAAATAAGCCAGGAAGAGAAAGATTATTAAGCAGCCACTATGCAGCAGACATTGTGTTACTTGCTTTCCTGTAAATCATTATCCAAAAACCTGTCAGGCTTGTGTTGTTGTTTCCTTTATACACAAGGAGACTGGAGCTTAGAAAGCTTCAGCTTGCTTAAGGTTACACAACTAGATTTGAACCTGGAACGATTGACTACACAGCCGGCTCTGCGACTCACCTTGAAATGGACCATCTCTTCTCACAATCTCATCCCATTTTCTACACCTCACATGTGCTTTGTGCTTTTCGGTTTCTTGTATCACCCCCTTGTGCACACTGCCTCTCTCATCTCGCCACAGATTCTATGACTATTCCTTGGCCAGAGGCCAAGAGGCTACTGCAAGTGAATTCGGTGTCCTTGTCAAAATTGCCCAGGCCATGATGAAAATGGCCCAGGCATGTGCTCTGAGAGCTGGGAGGGTTTTGTTACATGGGTAACCTTGCATACTTCTTGAACTGAGCCTGCTGTAGTCGGTGCTCAGTACACATTTATTGAATGCACAGAGTGGGGGCTTGTGCTAATTTCTTCCTAATGTGCTTGGAATTTCCCAAGATGATAATTTTTCTTAAAGGGGTGGTATCACTGTTACCTTAGCAGTCTCTTAAAGGATACCCTCAGGAACCCAGATCAGTTACATGTGCAAGAAAACTTATCAGATTCTTTTTTAAAAAAGATTTATTTTTATTTATTTAAGCATACAAGAACTGGGGTCTAGGCCAGAAGTGTGGCAGGTGAGAGGATTCACCAGAAACACAGTGGGGAGCAGAACAGGCAGCTCTACTGAAATACTCTGCTGAGGGGAGCAGCAGGTGAGACAGGAGAGGTCTGCTGCTCCATGTGGTTTAGCTCCCTGGCTGGGGATTGAACTTGTGCCACCGGGGAGGCCTCCCCGACTGATTCTTTTTTTAATGATTCATGTTGTCAATGAATCGTAACTTGGAACATCCACTTGACTTTCAGGGCAAGGCAGCTCGTGATAAGGTCCTGATTAGAATCATGGTCTCCCGCAGTGAAGTGGACATGTTGAAAATCAGGTCTGAATTCAAGAAAAATTACGGCAAGTCTCTGTACTCCTACATCCAGGTATGTGCCCCAGGGCAATGTTGGCTCTGCTTCACCATCCAGAGGCAGGTGGCCTGTAGAATGCTGACAGGGTGGTGATTATCTGTCCTTCATTCACTGGGAAAGAGATCTAGTTATCAGACATCAAGAATTTATTTTGAAAGCGCCCTTTTCGATGTGTCCTGGACGCAAAAGAATCAGGCAAATATTTTCTGTACCTCGCATCTGCTATTCTACAGTGATAATTGGTATTCATGATGATGATCCTGTAAGACTTACTGACATTCTGAAGACACTTATCAGTTAAATTTTACATCTTATTTTAGTTCCATTTCTTGAGAAATCCTCTGTGATTGGTCTGACAACATTTAGTTCCTCAGAACTCCCGTCTTTTCTGGCCACTTGGTCTCTCTCTGTCCCATATATGAGGAATGATTGCCTTCACAGTTACCACTGTGTGTTGTTCTGATGGGCATGCAGCTCCTCTTTGTAAAAGATGCTGGCATTTCCAAAGGCACATCAGTGCTCACCAGGGGTGAATTTAGAGGTGGGTTTAGTATACCAAGTTTATTGGGATATATGTTTAAAATCTAGGGACCAGTTAGACTCAGTCATTGTTTTCTCACCTCACCTGCTTCTCTCACATGACCTTAAGAATCCATGAAAAAAGCACAAGGAGACAGGAAAGAACCCATCCTCTTTGGGGGGATGAAGGCCTGGGAGAAAAGTGGTGGTTTTTGGACCTCACTGCCTTCAGAGCAGTAGGTGGGGCTCCTGGGCTCTAGTCACTTAGTATGTCAATTCCCCTGTGCTCTGCCTGCCCTGGTGAAACAATGACTGGAATGTCTAGGCCACACTCCCTGAGGGTTTCACCCAAGAGAGCTTGGATGTGGCCCTCCAGGCTTCTGTGTCTGGACAGGTCTTCTCTTTGTGAACTTTGGGGAGGCTGGGTTGCATTGGACCTGCTTGTACGTTATTGTGGAGTTTGGGTCTTTTTCCTGATAGTGAATTTCTTTTTTCTCCTTGGCCATTTGTAGCAAGACACCAAGGGCGACTACCAGAAGGCGCTGCTGTACCTGTGCGGTGGGGATGATTGAAGCCAAGGCAGCTCGAGCCTCCAGGAGTGGTGTTCTAGGCTTCCAGCTAACAGAGCTAGAAAAATCAGCTTATGCTAACAGCCCCTGTGCCTCTCCCCGTGAAGATCATCTTAGCATTGCCCCCCTCCTTATTTTAGTAGCCGAAGATTGCCTGCCTTTTCTTGTCTAGTCTCTCCTTTTAGACAATGAAATGACCATTCCAAGGAGCTGGAAGAGGAAACTATGATGTGAAACACTTTGCATCTTGTGTACTGTGTCATAAACAGATAAATAAATGGAGTTTTTACTTTAGACAGCAACACTTTGTTGAGCTGCCTTTCAATTTAATTGTTTAAAAATCAAACACATTTAAAGGTTGTGTTCAGTTGGTAAGGCTGTCCCCTGGAGAAAGAATGCTCTAGAACTGTGCTGTATGGTAGTCAGAAATGGTGATTTACATTGGAGTTAATTTAAATGAAATGAAATTTCAAATTCTGCTCCTCAGATGTGCTGTTCACGTTTCACATGCTCTATGTCCACTGGGGCTAGCAGCAGCATATCCGACTGCTCAGGTAGGGAACATTTCATTGTAATAGAGAGTTCTGCTGTATGCCCAGGGTGGTGCTGTATGCCCAGGGGATGAGGAACCTGTGGGAGGAAAATCCCAGAGTGGCCCCTCATCTGCTCATTTTCCTACAGATAAATTAGGTGAAAATAAGCATCTGTGGTGGCTTCAAAATGGGAATGGGATAAGGGGGAGGGGACTCTTTTAACAAATGTTTCTAATGATTTACAGAAATTTATAACATCTTGCCTAAATCTCTAGGACTCACCTGTCTGAATCAGCTGACAGCTTTCTTTTAGAGGAAGCCTCATAAAAGGAAGTGTATCCTTCATACATTTTAGAATTGATGCCCTAAATTCCAAAATATACTTTTCCGTGTGCTTGGGGCAAAGTTCAAGGAACTGTGTCAGAAACAGGACATTTCTATTTAACCTTACACAATAGTGTTGAACTCAGAATTGATTAAGGGGAGACTGTCAGGAGCAGTGTTTCAGGAAGTATTTAGACTTTATTACCATGGGTTTCTGGGGGCAAGTGAAAGGTGTTAGAAGGTGAAGGCAAGTCTGTGCAGTGCTGTGAGCAGGCTTCTGCTCCCACAGTGTCCAGGGCAGCCTGACTGCTCATCTGGCTGTTTGGGTTCCTCCAGCAGGCATGAGGGAAGTCCAAAGAGCAGATTGGAAAAGAGAGGCTCCTGGAAAACCATTCCAAAGGCTGCCAGCTGTCTCTTCCCTGTATAGAACAATGGTTGTCTAGCGTTTTCCAAAACTAACAAAGGGCATTTGCAATTTGGTCTCATATTCTTTTGGATTCTAGCCTGTCCTCAGTCAAGCTGTCCAAACTGTTTCTTGAAGTAAAGAGAACCATCTGGAGATTTGAATATTCTCCCAGTTTTACTTTGCAAAGAGAAGGAAAAGGGCACAAGGCAGGTTTTAATATTTTGTAAACTCATAAGAACTTTGATTTTTTATTTTTTGAGGGATTTAAAGGCAATGTAGTGCCTCTAATACAGTTCAATGCTGTATTTATGGAAATTTACCAACCAAAGAGTGAACAAGCAGGCGTATTATTTTTTCTCTGCCTTGTGTGGTGGGGTTGGGCAGAAATGTTACACCACACAACTCCAGACATCACCCTTCACTGTAGCCTAAGTGAATGGTATTGCCTCTGGAGTTGTGCAGTGCATCACCTGAGTAGCAATACATGCTGACCTTATATAGTGAGCCTAGGTGTGTGTGACGGCCTATTAGACCTTTGTCACAGAGTTGGATTTCAGATTAAGAAGACAAATCTTCTGTGGAAACAGATGGGTAAGCCCCACCAGGCCTCATCTTTTCCATGGACTCTTGAACTTTGCACCCCTTTACTAGGCTCATGGTTGGGCATGTGAATCTTCCTAGTATGTGAAGTTGCTATGGTGTAAATTATTAGTAAAGATAGCTAAAGCAGGGAAAACCAGGCTCACAAAGTGGCTACATTTAGCAAGAAAAATGATTTGAGGACAGAAATCTTTTAAATCAATTTTCAGTCTTTAAATGACTCCAATCTTCAGGCTTCTCCTCACGTTTTGACAAACGGCTTTGGCTGCTTTTCCACATCAGTTTATTTGACCTCCTTTTTCCATCAACTACCAAAATGAAAACTCTGCTGTGTGTGAGAGAGAGGGAGCAATTTTAAACATCCCTTAGCAATGAGGCAGAACATGCTACAGCCATCAAGTTCTAGTTGTTCATTCTATTTATTGAAAAAAGCCTGTAGCCTGATTTCTTTTATGCGAGTACATTTGAGCAAGCAAAGTTTATAGAGATGACTTATCTCATTACATTAGAAGAGTGATTTGCTATCTCAGCATCTATAAGCAATTTTAACAGACATTTCTGGATGAAGAAAAGCTTTTGTAAATATATGCGAAAGACACGATTTCATCAAGCATTAAATTGGAGGTGCCCTGGAAAAATATTACATTTGTGCATTCAATTAGCTTGATTGTGGCTGAATTTTGTCCACGGAAGGCAGCATCTCTGCAGAAAAACAGAAGCATTCCCTATGTCAGCAGGTTTCCTAAAACAGAAAAGCACACTTTCCCCCTTTGCAAGTCCTCTTTTGCATTTGTGCTGTTCCCAGAGATGCGTCCCTAATCAGGCTGTTCACTCTTGCTCTCCACAGTAGAGGGTAAGGGGAAAGTGAACCAGAAGCCACTTTATTTAGGCTTTATAGAAATTCAAACCCCAAATTTCCAATTTTAATACTCCATATGTAGTCTAAAATCTAGGTAAGCTCTGGGCAAAATTGGAACTGATCAAAGATAGTTCTCCAAACTTCTCTTCCTGGTCTCGGCAGACCCTCTCACTTCTTTCAGGATCTGTGGGATGTTGTTTAAATCTTACTGTGGCTCTCTCTGGGATGAAAGCTTTGTTCTCTTAAAAGAGTAAGAGGAGTCAGGAGATGCAGAATGGTTGGGGTACCAGAGGACTTTCTTGGATGCTAAATCACAGTGAATACATGAGGCAGGTACTTAGGATCATCAACAGTCCCCCCTCCCCCACTCATTGATCTGTAGTTGAACCACCATTTTTCTACTGAAAGAAACAAACCAGAAAAGACATTATGCCCAAGGAACCTGGCTGTGAGGTGGCTGTTTTTTTTAAATAGTAGATGAAGACAAGTTGAATCTTCCCAACTATGAAGTTGAGTTGAGCAAGTAATATTGAGCCGCTGTCATATATTCATTCATTGCCTTATTTTTTTTAAAGATTTATTTATTTATACAAGCACTTGGTATAGTCAGAAGCGCGGGGGCGGGGGGGGGGTTATGTGAGAGAATTCACCAGAGCCAGAGCGTGGAGCAGAACAGGCAGGACGGAAATACACTGCTGAGGGGAGCAGCGGGCGGCAGGAGAGGTCTGCGCGCCATGTGGGACCCTCGCCCAGCAGCTGGGTATCGAACCGGCGCTGCAAAGGCTGCGGGCAGCTTCGCAACCCACCTGGGGTACAGGTCAGAGGTGCAGGAGGGTGAGAGGATTCACCAGAGCCAGAGCGGGGAGCAGAACAGGCAGACGGACCGAAAGCACTGCTGAAGGGAGCAACGGGTGAGACAGGAGAGGTCTGTCCCGCCATGTGGGTTGCTCCCTGGCCAGCAGGGAATCAAACCCACGCTGCAGAGGCCACGGATAGCTTCACAGTGCTGCGCTCAACCTGTTGTGCCACCAGGAGAGGCCATGCCTTATTTTTCAGTAGACATGTCTAGTATGTGCTGGTAACTGAACTAAGCACTGGGGATTTGAAGAACAAGGCAACACTGACTCTAGCAAGTGATACGTCCCATGACAGAGGAAGACATGGGTGGCTGGGCTCAAGATTTCTGCGTGAAGCAATGTTTAAAGCAGATTTTTTTTTGGGGGGGGGGGAGAAGGATATTTCCCCCTGACTTATAGAGGAATACTTAATCGTTGTAGAAAGTTGAAAAATATAGAAAAGTACAAAGAAGATGGAGATCATCTGGAACCCAATCTCCATCCAATCACTGTTAATGGGTTGGCCTAGCAACCTGTTCAAGAATTAGCTCTTATTTCCTTGATAGTAAGTTAATGAAGAAAGAAATGGTCGTTTTTCTTTTCCCGCCTCAAGAAAAATAAATAAATGTTCAAATGAATGTCTGACTTTTCTTGGCCCCCCCCCAAACAGAGCTAACTGACTTTTTATTTTTCTTAAAGTCTAGTTCAAGAAGATGGAGGTTTGTCTGGGTTGTCTCAAAGAGCAGGCCTCCTGGGCCTCCCTGGTGGCGCAGGGGGTTAAGCGCAGCACTGTGAGGCTGTCCTAGTCTCTGCAGCACGAGTTCGATCCCCAGGCCAGCCAGGGAACTATCCACATGGTGCAGCAGACCTCTCCTGTCTTGCCCACTGCTCCCCTCAGCAGTGTATTTCAGTCAGTCTGCCTATTCTGTTCCCCACTCCGTCTCTGGTGAGTCCTCTCACCCCCCCCCCCACACCTCTGGCCTGTACCCCGGTTCTTGTGTGCAAAAATAAATCTTCAAAAAAATAAAAAGAGGAGGGCTCCTGGTCACCAGAAATAGCGGAGGAAAAAGAATTTTCCTTCTTCCTTTCATAGCGAGCACCTGACTGAGACCCTTCTTCTCCAAGGGCACCTCGAAATGAATAAACTTAACCTAAGGTGATTCAAAATTCCCCACTGCGGCCACTGTAATTCACGATCATCTCTGCTAAGGCTAACCTGTTGGTTCAACCTTAAAACCAAGTATTATGTACCCGAGGTTTCACACCGGAACCATTCTGCTTAATCAGGCCCAGTTGTACTGAAGACTCGGTTCCGTTTTTTAACTCGGACCGGGTCCAGTTTCCAAGTGGGACCTGACGGACCAGGGCCAGTTTCTGGGCCCAAACCAGAAAAAACGCTCAGGGCGAAGGCGCGCAAGCCTAAAACTGTGTCGCAAAGTTACAGCTGTGACTTCCCGGGGCCGCGGAGCGGCGAGAAGCGGCGAGAAGCGGCGAGAAGCGGCGAGAAGCGGCGAGAAGCGGCGAGAAGCGGCGCGCTCAAGGGGGCGAACAGGTACCTGCGCCGCCGGGTGCTCCTGACTTCTGGGGCCGCAAGCGATAAACGGAAGCATATTAGGGTTTTTTTTTTTTGAAGTAAAATACAATTCCTATTGGGAAACATTCTATCTAGCAGAGAGAGAGGAGTTCTGGGCAACTTTACAAAATAGAAGCTTAACGGAGCCAGGAACGACTTCATA